CCCCCCCCCCCCCCCCGGCCCCCTTCCCTAAACTTTCCCACAAGAGGGGGGGGGGGTCTACAGCAGTAGGACAGCGACACTCAGCAGCATTCGCGAAGGATATAGAAAGCTTGTTTCTAATGTAGGGCACATGTGGGGTGGGGGATAGGGATACGAAACACCCTCTCTCTAGGTTGTACTTCGCGAAAGCGGCCCGCGAAATTGGTGGGGGATAAGCTTTCGGCACATGTATGTAGGCGTGACGACGACAACTGGCCCGGTCTCCTGGACGTATATTCCCAAGAGACAGCCCGGTGGGAAAGAACCAGACACGTCCCGCAGGAGGACTGGCTGTTGGAAGTCGAGCGTCAGCAAATGTTGTGGCTGCTGACGCTGTCGACTGATTGCTGTTGGCTTCATCTACGTGCACAGAAACCCATTACCGAGCTATCACGTCGCCGTGTGTGTGCCCTTGTTGCGCTTTCGTTGAGTATGATCCTCCCCCCCCCCCCACCCACCCACCTCCCCCCCCTCTCTCTCACTGCTTTTCATGGATCTGTGACTCACACAGCAGTTTCCTCCCTTCTGTGATCTCGACAACGTACGTGGGTTTTAAATTTGGTTCGTATACCGTTAGCCCTTCGCACTCAAGAACCTCCAAGTTTCGGTGGATGATGGGGTTATTAGGTCCTAGGGTTACGCTACGAATGGCCGATAGGTTTTGACGTATTATTTTAACAGAGCTCGCAAATGGTGCTCAAATTCTTAGATTTGCGAGGCTCAAAAACTGTAACACCAACCCTAAATTTTTCACGAGATTCTGTGGGGAGGGGACTCACGCGAACCGCCCCAGGCGCAGCGATATCCTCGAAAAGATAATTTGCTTATCAGCTTGATATTTTACATCTCTCGAGTATCGCAACGTGCGACCATAAAGTGTGAAAACTGCTCTTGGCATCTGCCATACAACGTAAGGAGAGGGTAGTTCAAAACAAGTATGAACCTCTAGAGACAATATATAGAGGCACTTCGTACTCGAGGTAACATATCGGAAGAGATTGGATTCCGTCCTTTTGTCGAATAAATTTTCGGATTCACAAGTTTCAACGGACATGCCACACAACAGCAGTGGCTTGAGTGGTTCAGTGACGTTTGGACGTGGGTTCGGATTAATGCGGAAATTTCGTAACGGATTGTGTGAACAAGCTTACAAATCCCAAAGATTTTCCATAAGATCCGCGGATCAATCAGTACTCGTTTCAAACTTCAAATTTGGATCCATGAGGTCCGAACGGATTGTAGATACTGCTGGTGTTAACCCTTAAGTGACTACACCCACGAATGAACCCGTTCCCAGCTCCGATCACTTTGCGTGCCGAAAGATCGCCCACCCAAAAAGCACGCATATTAGCAATGCGCACGGGGTACAAACAGTACTTGACCGGGCCTATATCTCTGATGCGAGGCAGATGTCCTTTCCAGATCCAATCAATCTACGGACTACGTAAGACCCAAACGCATAATACCACAGGAGGGTACATGCAGCACCCTCAACATGTGCTCAACCCGGTGCCGCGTGCGCGGGGGAGAGCAGAGAAAACGCGCGTCGGAGCCGATGATAACGTACTGCTTAGGTGCTTGTTGTGATTGCGGTGCGTGAGGGTCCCCGTATCGGGAGTGAAAGGAGGTTCGTCTGCTGTGTGCAACTTTTCGCTCAAGGGATAAGGTTCTCACGACTACACCTCCGATCACACCTCCGATCACAATGCTCTATTTTTAGTACGGTATGGTAAAACATATCGCGATTTTTATGAATCTTGTGCGATAGTGGATGATGGTCCGATTTGCTGAGTGGGCCGTTACTTCTGCATCGATCTGGCGCTTTTGTGAGGCGGTTTCCCGTCAGCACCTTCGCATCTAGCGCCGCTAGAATATGCGCTTGCCGTATGCTCTGTCCAGGGATGAGGCAGAGAAGATTTACTAGCATGTATTGTTTGCACAGATAGTCTACATCCTCTGTTGCGGGTGGTTGCAGTAGGAGACAAGCGTGCACAAGTTCTCAGACTACTGCTGTAATTTCTCTCTTCCTCATACGACTGCTGTACGTGCAGTTCAGCAGTAGTACTACTCCTGTTCATCACCCATACAATATACCCGCGTCCCCATCCCTGTGAGCCCCGCACATGGACTCACTGCTGCACCATCCTTGCCGCCGTGATTTATGGGTGTGCACGTATGCAGTAAGATCTTGGACCACAGAGAGCCAGTTGCGGGGGAAAACATGAACAATTCAAATGAACCCAGTCACGCAAGGGTTGATACCGCTGTCGTACTCTCAGCGTCGCGTTGAAATCCACCGGAAAGACCTGTGTGCTTTGCATGGGGCAATCGGCGTAGAAATAAGAACAAGGAACCCCGTGTACCTACAGCAGTACAACGACTTGCTACAATGAGAACATGGTCTCGGTT